CCTGCTGCTGGAAAGTCATGACGTGCTTGAAGAACACGTAAACGTGCTTCTCCTTCTGGAACATATAGGCGTCCTTCAAAATATAATAGATTATTCTTGAACTCGAACTTAGAAGGATCATGAGACTTGGAAGAATTATTCTCGATATCATAAACAAGAGGGTCTGAGGACATACTGGACTGGATTTGCTTGAGAAAAGTTGAATCAACAGTCAATGTTGATTTCATTGCTCGGAGATGAAATTGCTCCGGTTTCAAGAGGACCGTTCTTTGTTACTCAAAAGCTGCATCTCCTTCTTTTGGTGCAAAATAAGAACGTCTAGATAGGGCATCAGACAAACCTTGTTGTTTTCCTAGCCGATAAGTGATAATGAACTCGAATCTTGACAAAGACATTCTCCAACGAGCTTGACGACGATTCAACACACGTGCTGACATGAAATACTCGAGGTTCTTGTGATCTGTATACACAGTGACTGGACTAGAAGCGCCTTCTAGATAATGACGCCATTCTTGAAAGGAATCCACGATTGCAAGAAGTTCTTTATCGTGGATCTCATAATTGATCTCGGCTGCTGAGAATTTTCTTGAATGAAAAGCTATCGGATGAAGTTTGTCATCTGTTCCCATTTGTGATAAAATTGCATCCAAGGCAAAATCTGATGCATCTGTTTCCATAAAAAATGCCTTGGAGAAGTCAACACGATATAAGACTGGTGCAGAGACAAACGATGTCTTCAAGGCTTCAAATGCTGCTTCCGCTTCTTGATTCCATTGGAATTTATCTTTACTAATCAAGCGTGTAAGTGGAGCTGCAACTCGTGAGAAATCTTTGATGAAGATCCGATAGTAATTGGCAAATCCCAAGAAACATTGGACATCTCTTACCGTCCTTGGAATCTTCCAATCCATGATTGTTTGGACTTTCTTAGAATCCATCATGAGACCATCATTTGAAATGATGTATCCTAAAAATTCAACTTGAGTAGTATGAAATACACACTTTTCCATCTTGGCGTACAATCCTGCATCTCTAAGTTTTTGTAATACTTGACGAACATGTATTTCATGTTCTTCGACGTTCTTAGAATAGATCAGGATATCGTCTAGATAACAGACGACAAAATTGTCTAAGAATTCACGAAATACATCATTCATGAGATGTTGAAAAGCAGCTGGTGCATTCGTGAGTCCAAAGGGCATGACATTATATTCGAAATGTCCATACCTGGTTCAAAACGCAGTCTTCCATTCATCTCCTTCTTTCATCCGTACTAGATTATACGCTGCTCTTAGATCTATTTTTGTATAGATCTTAGCTTGATTCAACTGGTCAAGGAGTCCTGATATCAAAGGTAATGGATACCTGTTCTTGATTGTGATCTTGTTGAGTCCTCGATAATCAACACACATTCGTAAAGATCCATCTTTTTTCTTTACGAATAGAATTGGAGCTCCTGCTGGAGATTTTGAATGGCGTATGAAATTCTTCGCTAAATTCTCGTCAATATATGTCTTGAGTTCAGCCATCTCATCTTGCGATAAATTGTAAATTGGTCCAAATGGTGGCTGAGTTCCTTCCTTGAGGTCGATTGAACAATCATATGGACGATGCTCAGGAAGAATATCTGCATTCTTTTTCTCAAAAACGTCTTGATACTCCTGATATTGACTTGGAATGCCACTTGAAGTCTTTACGTTTTCAGAAATAGGTGCAGCATAAATAGCAAAAGTTGATCCTTCTTTTGCTGCGTGTATAAATGCTTTTGCACCTATCACTGCGGGTTTTACTATACTACACTTATAATTTTTTACTTGGTTAGTAGAACTATTAATAACGCTCTGGGAAAAGTCAAGTTTACGCAAATTCCAATCTATTCGAGGATTATATTTTTCTAGCCATGATAAACCTAAAATAACTGGATTGGACGGGGATTTAATTATGTTAAAAGCTATGTAGCTATCATGACCGTCTATTGTTACTTTTATAGGATGAGTTTCATGAGTGACATCTCCAAAAGACAAGGGACGACCATCTATGACTTCTACATGTACTGGTTTAGGTTTCTGTACAAAGGGTATTTTGCGACTTTTAACAAATTGTTCATCTAAAAAACATGCTGAGGCTTCCGAATCTAATAAAGCAGAGGCTTTGTAATTCTTAGGTCCTAAATATAAGTCTATTATAAAACAAGGAGAGGGTTCTGAGGAGAGGATAGGACCTTCATTAAGAATTATACAAGTTTCCAGCTACACAGTCCCTATTGTAGCTGGACGAATCCGTTTTCCGACATGTTGTCTTCTTTGACCGTCGTACCCCTCATTTTATAGTTGCGTCGTTTCTTTGGACAATGTTGAGCAGTGTGCTTAAGTTCTCCGCAATATAAACATAATCCTTCTTGACGACGACGAATCTTTTCTTGCTCAGTTAGAGGTTTAAAACGTATCGCGTCAATTTGCATGTCTTCTACTTTCGAATGTACGTTTGGCAAAGATGTTGATGTTGCCATTGAGTAATAACGTTGAGGTTTCCGTGAATGATTCTCAGATCGAAATTCGAAAAGTCGATTATCACATTTTACCGCAAAATCGATTGCTTGACTCAAAGTTTGAGGATCAGGTAAGTTGAGCATCAATTTCTTTACTTCGTATTGCAATCCATAAAGAAATTGACTAATGAGTGCAGCATCATCCCACTTGATGTCAATTGCAAGTTGTCGAAATTGTGAAGCATACACTGTTACTGAGCGATTTCCTTGTCGCAGAATTTGGATCTTATTTGTTGCAACACGAGTTGCATCGTGTTCACCATACATAGATCGAAACTCCACCAAAAAAGCTTCCAAATTGTCCAATATTGGATTTCGTTGTTCAAGAAAAGACGAAAACCATGATAATGCAGAACCAAAAAGTAGAGTGCCAATAAACCTGACTTGTGATCCTGGAGTTGGATAGCTTTGCGGTTGAAGTTCAATTGCCAATTGTATTTGATTGATGAACCCTCGAAACTTAGATCTCGTACCATCAAATTTCTCGGGTAAGGCAATTCTTGGTTCTCTAGTGCTTATAGGGTGTTGTACAATTGGAAAAGGAACGTGATTTGTTGTAGATGTTGAAGCAGCTCCGATCATCTCTATATCCCCACTTTCTGCTATTCTTGTTCTTTCATGTGTTGGTGAATTGAGTTGATGCATCGCAAGCATTAACTCCCTCATTTGCTCTTGCATTTGTGCCATTGCACTCTTCATTTCAACAAGCTCTGCCATAATGACACTAAGAAAAATTTGTTTGATACTGCTCAAGACAAAAGAAAAGAAAGACTTGATAACAAAGAAGATACTAAGAACAATATCAGTTTAGAAGTGGGTAATCCGTAAACTTCTAATACGCTTATGTCTTGTCAAGAGAAAGGGGTAATCCACTCTCACTCAAGAAAAACAAAGCTCTGATATTGTAAGTGTACTCTTGTCAATCTGTCAAGGACAAAGACTCGATGAGGGAAAATATACAAAAAGGCTATCTCGATATAATAAGTCAAAATATAAACAAGTAGGTATATTAAAAGGAAAATGGAATGGCTATTGCCACAAGACAAGAAACTAAAGACTCTTGAACCTGGACTAGAAGCAAGAAAGGAGTTGACAAGAGTGAAGAAGCCTTCACTCTTGTCTCTATATATACTATCTAACTAGGGGCTACGTGGCGACGTTCTATAGGACCTCCAATATGTGTTGACTTTGTAGGACACATGCCTTGACTTACAAGGCAAGTTTTTCTACGTGTGGGCCACATAGTTAGCTTGATCTTCAAGCTAACAATATGTGTGGCACATGGCCAACTTGTTGACCACGTTTCTAATCCAAAAAGTCAATTAAAGACACCTATGAAGTCAAAGCAGCGTCTAGGAAGTTTCTAGGAAGCTTCTATATTAAATATTATAGAATTAACTTACTTTTATCTACTTTTACTTACTTCTACCTATTTCTATATGTAATTATTAACTTACATGATTATGGCCGTGACAATTTGCATCTACAAATTATATTGAATAATACAAGTTCTTTGTAAATTGATGACCTTTATTACTAAATTTAATTCTTAGCTAGAGACCATATTGCCTTTGAAAAATATAATTGTGATATGTCCCTAAGTTTATATATATATATATATATATATATATATATATATTAGATATTATTTAAAAATATTTAAGATTGATTTTTGATTTTTATTTTTTGTACATGTATAATAACTATAACTTTAAATTTTATTTAAAATAAAAGTACCATATATGATAAATTCTATGTATAACCAATAAAAGAAAAATATAAAATTAGTTTAAGTGAAGGACATAAAATTATAATAATAATTTATTTATCAAAGGATAAGAAAAAAAATCAAGTTATTCTTAAATTCAAATATATCTAGAAATCACTAGTCATATACAGGCATTTAAACAAAACAATCTTGAAAGCACAAGCAACTATAGAAGTGAAGACAAACAAAAAGTAAACAATGTAGCAGAGCCAATAGAAGAAGTTACAAAGGTGTAACAGTGAAAAATCATGCAAACAATGATCAAAGCCACTCAAATAAAATAAAATAAATACAAAATACAAAAAAGAGTAAAACTGCTTTCCACCCACATCTACTTATATTATCCAACAACGTCACCAAGTAGGTAATAGTAAGGCTCCTACCAATACCCAACTTCTATCACGATTCAAAAAAAAATGTGAGAGTCTCCAGCATTGTATGAAACTTTCAAAAAGTTGAAAGCAGCCATTTCCAAGACCCCCCCCCCAATCTATTATTCCAAGCTTGCATGTGTGAACACGGTGTGGTGTAGTGGGGCACACATTGTTCCCCTGCCCCAGCCCCAGCCCAGGTCACTCACCTTCATGAGGAAGCGACGAGGGGCCGCGCCAGGGCGGGTGGCCCTTGCGGCGGGCGACGGGCGGGATGGCAATCAGTGTAGCCCGCCCGCCCTCGAGTCGCGGGTGGCGCCGCAGCCACGTTGAGAATTCCGCCCATGGTGGGGGAAAATAATGGTTCGGTGCCGTCTGATTCTCAGCTCCTTCCCCTCCGTGCCCGTGCCCTCCACCGTTACTCTTTTGTTGGTTTTCGGCTCCACCCATTTCACCCTTCTCTCGCCCCTCCTTGGCTCTCCGTTTTGCTGTAGCTAGCTGCGTGATCTCTACCTCCCGGCTTGCGTTTCGTAAGCCTCTGGTGGTCGAGCGAGAGAGATCCAGCTACAGCCATGGCTGCTGTTGACACCAAGAGCGCTTCTCCTCCGACTGTTGACGCCGTGAAGGCGACCTCGACGGTGTGGACCACGATCAAACCTTTCGTGAATGGAGGTCTTTCGGGTATGGGCGCTACGTGCGTGATCCAGCCGGTGGATATGATCAAGGTGCGCATTCAGCTGGGCCAGGGAGGCGCCATGGAGGTGGCGAAGAAGGTTATTGCGAATGAGGGGTTTGGTGGGCTCTACAAGGGTTTGTCCGCTGGGTTGCTGCGGCAGGCGACTTACACTACGGCGAGGTTGGGGACGTTTAGGATTTTGACGAACAAGGCGGTGGCTGCCAACGATGGGAAACCCTTGCCATTGTACCAGAAGGCCCTGTGCGGGTTGACTGCCGGTGCCGTCGGGGCTTCTGTGGGTTCTCCTGCCGATCTTGCCCTAATCCGTATGCAGGCGGACGCTACCCTCCCTGAAGCTCAGAAGCGGCACTACAAGAACGCTTTCCATGCGCTCACCCGGATCTCCAAGGATGAGGGCGTGTTGGCCTTGTGGAAGGGAGCTGGCCCGACTGTGGTGCGAGCCATGGCCCTGAACATGGGTATGCTTGCTTCGTATGATCAGTCTGTGGAGTTTTTCAGAGACAATTTGGGCTTTACCGAGGTTCCGACTCTCGTTGGTGCTAGTGCCGTCTCTGGATTCTTCGCTTCTGCTTGCAGCTTGCCTTTTGACTACGTGAAAACTCAGATTCAAAAAATGCAACCCGGCCCTGACGGGAGGTACCCTTACACTGGATCCGTTGATTGTGCCTTGAAGACGCTGGCTCAAGGAGGACCCCTGAAGTTCTACACCGGATTCGGCACATACTGCGTGCGAATAGCGCCCCATGTCATGATGACCTGGATCTTTTTGAACCAGATCCAAAAGTTGGAGAAGTCATATGGATTATGATCTTGTCTGAAACTCTCGCATGCACAGTTAGTCAAACACAAATGGTGCATACAGAGCCTGATTTTTTACATTCACTCTCTGGCACTGGGGATCTACAAGTCTGGTCCTTAAGACTATCCGTTTTAGATAGACGTCAAACTCTATTATGTTTAGGCAGTAATGGTAGCCAGTTAGGGGAGTAAGTCTATTGTTGTAGGTCTTGGAGACGATTTTGTTCTGGGGAGGTGCTTAGACCATTCACATCGCTGTTTTTCCGGATCCTGATCGCTGTTGCCGAGATAATAATTCGGAGGTGATAGAATAAGTTGGGTTTTAGAGGAATGAATGCAGGCTGGTCACTATCTTGAGACGTGTTCGTATCTTTGAGGTATCTATGTAATTGCCATCTGCTGATGACGAGGTGTTGTGTTAGGGTAGGTACCAGGTCGGCAGTCGGTCGTCTGCGTTCCTTCAATTTTTTCCTGGATAGCAGGACCATTACCCTCCTACTGTGAGTGGGATTTATATTGCTTACAATGGAGAAGCCAATTCAATCACTTGTGATCTTTGTGCAACTTTCTCAGTTCGTTTTTTTACTACTGTCAGCGTCTATCTTTGATATCAGGCTATTCTTTCTTTCTTGCCTTCTTTTTCCTTGTCCGTGTTCTTCTTGTGAGTCTGCCGCGATCTCTTTGCTCTCGTATAATTTCAGTGTGACCCTAATGCCGAGATGTGAGGTTTCCAAAGCGACACGTAAGCTCTTATAGTATCTCCGTTGTTGACCATATCAAAGTGGTTAAGCTAATTTGAAATTTGATCAGATTGGTAGTTAAATGAAATGCTTTTGATCATGTAGCTGGAATGTTTGATGCAGAGCAATGTTTCGACTTGGCTATGCGTACCGTTTCTGTTTTCTCGCCCGAAGTCTAACTATCTTAAAGATTGTCATAATCAATTACTCATCTACTGCTCTTGATATGGGTATCAGGCAATCTGCTTGATCACCTGCTGAAGTGTATGTAGCAATTTGTGAGAGTTTTCCCTCGGTCCACCTGTTATAAATATCACGATATGTCACTTAGTGTGGACCTGGGTAGCTATAAGGCATAGGGGATTACTGCAGGAATAGTTCGGTTATCGGAACGTGCAGCAACGAATTTACAATCCAAATTAAATATGCATTCCCGCTTGTAGATAGTACCCTGAAGAGCATCACAAAAGATGCCCATGAAAATCAGACCTTTATCGAGCGCAAAGTCAATCTTGCATAGTCTAGGGTTTTGGAGGCCGCCATTAGGGTTACAAGCGTGGCACTGGTCGGCGGGAAGGCTATGATCCGCACGGGGATGGGGAGAAAGGCAATGGACGTGATGCTTCATCATTCAGCGCAGGACTAGGTTTGTCATCGTTGCAAACCTTGACCACATCGTATGAGACATCTTGACCAGAAATTGTTCGACATCACCGACAATAAATTGATTTTTTGAGTTAGTATATCATTTCAATGCTACTACCCCTTGCAATTGCGAGAGATCCGGGTCAGCGATAAATGTTCTACGACCAACTTGTTCCAGCACACAACTTGTTGGTGAACATGTGACAACTTCGTTTGCAATCAAAGCCATGGCGTGGATGAGGATTGTTGCATTCGAAGCTGTCATGATAATCATACATTACGCACGTATAAGAACTCTGCGGCAAGTAGAGCTTTCTGGGATGTAAAATCCTCAACTCATGTACTTCGATGGGTCACACCATGTCGAATAATACTTCCAATCTTCTGCCACCTCGACCACCTGAATTGACGGGTTACAGATCAAAACGCATCCGAACTTGAATAATTTACATCACCAAAATCGGTTTTGTTCCATCATTCCTGTTAACAATTATCCACTGTGGCAATCACTCGGTTTGAGGAATGTTGGATTTTGTTGCGTAACTTCTGTAACAACTGCGACTTCTTCGACTCGATTGGAATCCTGTCTGCGAATGTTAAAACCGCCTGTCCTTGTGCCACTGATTCGCCTAGAGCAATGTTGCTTATGGTGAAAAGTGAAGTAACCAATGCAATGGTCATACACGCCCACGGATTCTTTTTCGCAAAAGTGGCTGTAATTTGAGCATAGTAATAAATCACGGGTCGGCACCGGAGTTCCATCACCATATTTAGAGGTGCAAGCGTAATATAAGCTTCCAGCGGATTGGTCAACATTCCAAAGAACACTGGAGCTACTCTACCCGCTGAACCTATTCAACTTTACCTACAATCGACAGAAGGTTTTGATCGCCATCATTTCAACAACCACGCTTCAGTTGACGCAACATGAAAACAACTCGAGCCAAACAGGTGTAATCTTTTTCAGTTGTAAGTCTCCCGTTTGACTGCACACATTGTCCATTTTTGCACTGTAACATTAACGAACTCTGACCACGTTGAATCTCAGCAACCTAACGCAATAAATCTCGATGATCGTGAATTATCTGCAAAACCTGCTGATTCTATGCACAAACGCTGGATCATGGAATCGTGGGCGTGGGGTGCCGTTTCAAGCCGCAAGCATCCGGTGCATCGAGTTGGGTCTGAACACAACGTCGATCTGCGTGCTCGTCGTCACGTCACGTCACGTCTCACGTTTCATGGTTGGGGACAAGGTCACGGTGGAACGGCCAAGATCATGAGCAGCTGGAAAATCTAGTTGCATCCAACTTGTAGTGTTGATGCGATGACGCATCTGCGGCGTACTGTTTCTCGATCTAGATCTGATTGCGATCGATGCAGTGCAAGGCTTGTTAGAGGTAACGTCTGGAAGCATGTGTGGCTTTGAACATCATGCGGTATGCATTCTATTTCTAAATATGAGAGGTTTTTCCTCCACTTTCATGTCATGGTACAAAAGTTTTACAGAGTCTATGAATTGGGTCAAATTGTTACTAAGTTCTGTTTGTGTGTGTGTGTGGATATATATATATATATATATATATATAGATTCTGTCTAATTCTTATTTCAAACCTGTATTATTTTACCGTATGTTGTATTCTTAAAAAGAAAACACCAAATATAATTTTGGAACATGTTTATAGTAAATAACAAGTTATTTAAATCTTCATGAACTAGGAGATGATACGATAGGAATGATATAAAAAACAAAATCAAAAATAACATATATTTATGTAAGTATGTCTTTGTGCATTAATTTTTTATTTGATTTACATAGTGTGCATTGAATACTATAACAAAACGTCATCAACTGTTGAGATACTTTTCATTGAAAACTACCTGCTTTGATTTGACATCATACAAAATTTATTCCCAAAAAATGTACCTAAACAAGAACACATGTATACATAAATACATACATTTGTCTTGGTATAATAAATAATACAGATATTTATGCAATGAGTTTGTGGGACATGTCTATTATTTTTATTTGATTTTACCAGATTATGTTTTAATATATATATACATACACACACACACATAAGCATTCTATTTTACTTATTATGTAATATTATACATGTACATATAAGTATACTTATTAAAAAAATATCATATATATATATATATATGTATTAATGAATAATAATAATCAAAACATTAAAATTTGTAAGAAAAAAATAAAAAAATTTAAATACATAGTTAAATTTTTAATTCTTCTTGAAAATATGCATCGCTCATCCATTTAATTACTTGGTTGTTTTGTGAGATCGAACATTTCATACTCATATCTTTGTTCTAATCTTATTTTTAGATTAAATATAATTCCCTTGCGCATGGAAGCATTGGTTAATTTTCCATGTGCAATTAAAAAAAAATCACATGAACATTTGGTTTCAATAAGTAAAAGCGTTGGCATGTGTTCGACGAAGAGAAATGGGCCTCAAACCTCCGTTTGGAATCGAACGTCAAGTTCCCACGAAACGTTCCCAAAGAAGTATAGTCTATCAGGTCCGCGTTTGGTTCTGTTCCCGGAGTTCACAATGTGCTCAACGGGCCTTCCCCAGAACGCCAGGATAAAGCCTCAAACCCTAACACGAAAGACCCCTTTATCTACACACTCGTTGTCGCTGTGTATGCTTCGCAAGCCTCTCTCTCGTCTTTCAATTTCTGCGTCTCGCTGATCTCGCCGATTTCGCACCATGCAGAACGAGGAGGGCGACAATGTGGATCTCTACATCCCCAGGAAGTGGTGGGTTTTTTTTGTTTCATCGTCGTATCTTCCCCCCATTTAGAGTTTTTCTTACTTCTACTTTCCTCCTATTTGATAAACCCTAGATTCATTCCGGATTCGGCCCTGAAAGTAGCATAGTGGCGATGGTATGCCTCATTTGGATGTTTCCTTCTTTTCTTAACATCCGTGCTTTGTTCTGCTTCTCCGTGTGGATTTCGCCTTTAGGGTTTGATTTGTTTCTTTATACGTACGGGCTTGGGTCCGCACGGTTTGTTTTGATGCTGCAATTTTAGGGGTTAACTTTAATTGTGGTATTTTTTTTTTTTTTTTTTGGTGTTTTTTTTTCTTTTTTCTTTTTGCAGTTCTTCAACCAACAGGTTGATCACTTCCAAGGATGTTGCCTCAGTTCAGCTCAATGTGGGTCATGTTGACGAAAATGGTGTCTACACCGGGCAGTTCACCACCTTCGCCCTATGCGGGTTTGTTCGTGCTCAGGTGGGTATACGTTTTGATTTTGCAGTCAATTTTTAACGCGTCCCACTTGTAGACTTCATGTTGTGACGATGTTAGAGGATCTGTCTTTTTTTAAATGTGTCTACGGGGTGATTAAGGGTAAGTGTCTGGAAGTAGGTTTCTGTCCAAGCGCAGTATGTCCTGAAATGGAAAATGTATTGCTCAGGATGCATGACCACGTTTAGTTAGGGTTTCGGTCTTTCTTCGATTAGGCGATTTAGGGTTTGGCATTTGACATTTGTATCTGAAGTAGTTTGCAAAGGGAGATTCGAAAATTGAATTTGTTTTGTTTCTTGTGCAGGGTGATGCCGACAGTGCCTTGGATAGATTGTGGGCGAAGAAGAAGGCCGAGCTTGGACAGTAGATGGAGTTGACCTCCCTTAGTGTAATCACATATACGCCAGTTCGATTTTCTACTGGGCTTCATTGTAGTTGAACTTAAGTAATGAAATTCGACTTAAGTCAAAATGAAAAGTGAATTTTAAAAGTGTACGGTTCGATGTCCATGCATTGATTTACGTGTATTTAGCTACAAAGGTTTGACTCTCATATTTGAAAAGTTCAATCTAAGATCTACTTGTGGAGGCAGTGTCAGCCTTCCAAATTACGTGTTCTGAATATATGGTTTTTCTACCTCAAAGTCGTCTTCATGTTTTTGCCCGTGCAAGGATTCCCGCATCCCGTCAACACTTGTCTGAATGAGCTCACTTTGGCTAACCCTCAGACCAACACGTAGCTGCACCAAGTACATACTGTCAGACTTGGATGTCTAAAACAATCGGGCAATGCACCTCCGTCTTGTCACATATGTTTCGACTTAGTTCAGTGTTGCTAACAGGGCCATCACATTCCATGTTGAAGCAATAGTGCCTGCCTGTCGTTACTCTTTTTCCACTTACCTTATAACCGAAGTCTCCATTTATCAGTGGAGTCGACCGCGGAATTAGGCTGCCAGGTCTAGTGATTAGAGGGTAAAATGTCATTCCAGGATAATAGATGAATTTTGTTACGTCAAGTCACTGCGTTGTCGGATTGCTAATTAATGTGATGAGACATATTTCCTCTACAGTTAGAAACCATTATGAATACAGCTTACTTTTTTCATTGTCACACCTTGTGTGTTGCAGTGTCCATGTACATACCTCTTCATTTGTTTAATATATTTAATGGAACTATATCTTATTCTATTTATTTCAAACTTCAATCTAGGACTCATGGAAATCCACTCACTTTGACGAACAAATCATTGCTTTAAAATATCTTGAATATTTATCTACTCTTAAGAGCGCATTGCGATATGATGGAGAATGCTATCTTAAACAAGTTCGAACGGACATGAAACACCACCGTGAAACATTGCGGTCTGCATTCAATGATATTAACACATTACACTTTATACATCATGATTTAAGGTATTTGTAATAGTGCTGATTTCTTTTACTGTAAGAATTTTCTTTCAGATATAAATCTCTCTCCCTCCCATTTGAGTTTTCATACGATCATTGCTTCATCTTATTTTAAATAAAAAGTTCTCAGTAAAATAACTCGTAGTACCAAAAAAAATACCTGTGAACTTTATACAAAAAATAAAAAAATAAAAAAACAAAAATAAAAAAAGGAAAATAAGTGCTGCTGTGAGCATGCAATATTCAGATCCGAAGTCCTCAGAAAAAATCTTACTCAGCTGCAGAAGCCCATGTTCAATGACTCCTTTACATTTTTGTCATCAACTAACAATCCATGAAAGAACCCACAGGTTAAAATGGCTTCGAGATCGAACAAAACTTTTTTAAAAGCTTGTATGTCACAACATCCTTCTCAGACGACTTCTAGAATTATCCATCTTATTTCATCAAAGTCATACATACATACATACATACATACATACATACACGCTCATGTTCATTCAATACATACATACATACACGCTCATGTTCATTCAATACAATTCTGGAATTAGCTAGTAAGAGATCAAGCTGGGTAAACTTGTGACACTATGGCCGTGAAGGTGTCGCCTCGCCGTGGAAGGCTAGATTCCGTTGCAGCCCGGATTTGGCCTCGGCGATGGCGATGGCGACGGAGTTGTTCAGAAATCACTGGCGAGAGCAGGGAAGGGAAGGGAAGTAGAGAGCGGTGGCTGCCGACTCCAGAGTTTCATGAGCCCAGCCCGTATCCATCTCAACGCTTGTGCGTGAGTGAGTAGCCACGCCCCACGCGGAGGCGCCACTGGCATTCAAGGTCGGGAGCGTTATAGCAGCTCCCCGCGCCCATTTGCAGCCTGACAACCATTCATCAAGTCAAGTCGCGACTTGGTTGCTTTTTCTCGCGGTTCCGTGTTATCTATCCCTCAACCCGGACACCAAGCCCCTCACGATTCACGTTCCCTACTCATGAGCAATCATCCTTCCTTTCCCCATCGTCGCTCTGGTCGCTAATCATGCCTTGCAGAGTCCCCCCCCCCTCCCCCCTCTATCCCCCGAGATTTGCTTCCGCAACGCTCGCTGGAACGAACTGCACACACACACAATTTTCGCGACTCTAACGCATCCCGTTTTTGATTTCGCTGGAATTTTTTGTTCATGCTTTCTTAAAGTGTTATTATATTTATTCCTTGATTTCCTCGTTTAAAATTTTCTTATTTAATTAGACAGATAAGTAAAGGGTGGGTTTGGGAACTGTCATGACCAGTCTCTGAAGTTTTCGCAGATGGGTTCACCAGATAAATCTTCTCTGGTCAACTGCAACCAATCGCAAAGATCGATCTCGTTAAAGTCCTGTACAAATGCTGGAACTTGAATGATACCCTCTTGTGCTTGACAGCACTAAAGAGAAGGAAATGTTTGCATTTACTCACTCAGCATTGTCTGTGTTTGTGCCAATGCAATGCCACGTGGTTCATTTTTTTTATTTATTTTTATTTTTTCTTTTCCCAGATTCGGTAGTATTGATTTCAATGTGCAGGAGATGTGAATATGCTTCATTGTGTAATGACAACTGGGCTGATAATCACCGTAGCCAGCTTTGTTGTGCCTCTCTCATGTCGTGACACACTCATTGTCTCATAGCGCCATTACCGAGGTTGCTGGAGTCGCGCAAGGACTGTAATGGTCGTCACCTCCTTCATTGCCCTGAGTACGGATTACGTGGTAGTGGTCGCTTGCGTGTGGTTGGCATTTTCCATCTTGCGCAAAGAAATTGGATTCCGAGAGCTCGAAGTCTTTCCATGACTGTGCTTTTGGATATTGTGTGTGCACCATCGTCATCTCTCTCACAGTTACGTCTGAGCGTGGGAGTTTTTATGCCCAGTTGAGCTGGGTATTCCGTCCACGTTGGGTCGCAGAGGAAGCGTATGTACAGTAACAATTGGGGTAGTAGATGGTTCCCCCTGGCCCTGTAATGTCCGAGCTCCCAGACGTGTGAGACATGCGTTGAGCAGAAGTGGCAGAGATAGCACGACTAGCACATGCCTCTCATTATCTGCGACATTGCCCAGTCCTGCGATTTGTATCAGTTCAAGAAGCAACGACTCCACCGACTCTTTTGCCTTTTCTGTCCTGAGCCATGGTTCTTCGGACCCCGACCTGGCTTGAATAGGTCACTGAAGGGAAGTCTTTTTACATCTCGGTGCACACACGTCGGGGAGGCACTGATTCGTTTTTTCCAAGCCTCATTTGCGAAGACGGCGGCGCTCGCAGCCTGCCTAGGTTCATTGGAGGCCATTTCTTGTCAGCTAATGACAATGTGATACTAAGAGAGAGAGAGTTGGATGGCGGTCGTTCAGGGTTGACCGCACGGCTTCTGCTTGGGGGAAGCCTTACGACATTCTTACAACAGTGTCTGCAACAGAGCAGGCGCTGAACATGTAGCTCAACAGATGTGACGCGCTCAGCATGTGGTTCTGGTGTGGAGGGCGGGCCCTGGTATCTGCTACATCGGTGTCCTGTGTGCAGTACTTGTTTTGAACTGGCGCCAAACTGGTGGAACTTCGCAGGTTCTGTATTGTGTCGTTGGTGGATGATGTAACAGAGGATCTCAATTACTCGTCGCTGCTTACCCAAATTAAGATTCCACATGTCAGAAAGAGTGATTCCTGCGGGCCATCTTCAACCACTTTCCAGCCTTTGAGGCTCCAGGTTCAACTGTGCCTCGCTCCCTCATATTCTTTTTGCAACTGGCTATGGCCATATAGTGTTGCTAGCTAACGCATGGATCCCTCTGTGCCCTCGCTGAAGGTGTTGAGTCGTTTGGTGCCTAGTTCATGCTGTATGCAAACAAGCCTATATTGCCGTCGTGACAAGTCCTCTCGTTTAGCCTTACATCTCCATATTACTCCATATTACTGTGTTGAATGTTTCTTTGATCACGGAAAGACACGGTGCGGGAAAATGGTCAAATGTAAGGACGCCTTGTCCCAGCTTCGCCAGGTCTCACTCCACGAGTACCGTGTACATTTTTTTCTTGGGGAATCAGTAGCAACGGATTTTGCGCTGTTATGCCGACACTCGTACAATATTATTAGATCTCGGATGCAAGCGTTGTATCCTGTCTCTCTTCTGTGGTGGAAATGTGTAGCGTGATAGTGCCAAATATGGATAATGCACGTCTTTCATACAATGCTTCCTCTATTCTATCGCAAATGTTTGGCTTCGATCGTGGTTTTAGTCGCCGATCACTGCTTTTAGTATTGCGCAAGTTTCTTGGCGGTGCTAGCTACAATGGCAAGTATCAATGACAAAGTGGACGGGGAAAGGGACATTGTAGTGCGTTTCGTATTCTTGCAATCGTACACACACAAACTGAGTGCTATGAAACAAACCCATGGTACTCAAGCTCTCGTTCTGACATTCATGGTGTTGAATTTTGTAGTTTTCAACGGGAGTGCAGCGTGGGCATTGCTGCAGCGGAGGAGGTGGTGGAGAAATGGGGAAGAAGGGATTAACATGGTTCAGCGCTGTCAAGAAAGCATTTCGGTCGCCTTCGAAGGATAGAGACAAGGACAAGGATGCTATCAAAAGTGTGACCAAACTTGTGGACCCAGCTGGAGGCTTCCTCCCAGTGGAAGCGCCTGCGGTAAGAGCCTTTCTGGTAATTCGACATTGATAAAGACAAATCTCATCTCTATATTTTGCCCTGCCCAATGAATTTCTGACACTGTTGTTTCGTGCTGCCAGCTTAAATCGAAGGGTAGGAAGAGATGGAGTTTTGGCAAGTCATCGCATCAGCCATCTTCCACTGGAACACAGGATCGCGCAGCAGAGAAGAAGGCTGAAGACTACAGGCTCGTTTCCTACAGGACGCCGGATTTGTCTCGAGCAACCAGCCGCAGTGCCACTCCCCTGCATCACATAGTCTCACACATTTACTCCCGTGAAGACCTAGCAGCCACAAGAATACAAGCAGCATTTCGGGCATATCTAGTATGCACTTCAAAATTGAAAATAATCACTCAAGTTTCACTATGAGCTCAATATTCTCAAAATATTGCGTCAAAATACATACTTCTCAAAAGATCTACTGTTGCTTTCATTGCGGAAATCTGTCAGGAATTTACCCAAGTGGATATGCATTTCATGTGGCGAGCTTCTTTCATTCTACTTAGTTTTCACACTTCTTTTTTGGCCTGCGGTGCAGGCACGTCGAGCATTGAGAGCTCTGAAAGGATTAGTGCGATTGCAAGCTTTAGTTCGAGGACATACAGTGCGTCGGCAAGCAACGATCACACTGCGTTGCATGCAAGCGCTGGTGAGGGTGCAAGCCCGTGTTCGTGCACGGCGAGTTCGAATGTCAGAGGAAGGTCAAGCTGTGCAGAGACAATTACGTGAGCGGAGGCAATTAGAGTGTCGACCTAGGAGATCCACGGTATGTTCAAGCGTTGTCAATACAGGCGGTGAGATCTTGTATTGAAATTTGAGCATTTCAAAACTCGGAGGAATTTGAACCACCCAAACGATGAATTTGCAGGACGGAGGCTGGGATGATAGCACTCAAACCGCAGAGGAGATTCAAGCTAAATTACAGAGCAAACAGGAGGCAGCCTTGAAGAGGGAAAGAGCACTGGCATACGGCTTCTCACATCAGGTAAGAAATCTGGTATCTTCAGACGTGCTCTTGTGATGGTTTCAATACCCACAGGCTACGGGTTAGCACCTGTGCTTTGTGCAACCGATTTATTCTCGATCTTGATTACACAGTTGTGGAGGGCGGACCCGAATCAGACGTCACAGCTCTACATAGATTGCGAGCCAGATAAGCCGCATTGGGGATGGAGCTGGCTGGAGCGGTGGATGGCAGCGCGGCCCTGGGAAAATCGCGTCTTCGACACCACGTCCGTTTCGAAGGATGTGTTCGACAGCTACTCCGTCAAAAGTGCTGATCATCACGACTACATGCCAAGAAAACACGCTGACAATGGTCCTCGGCTCAACAAACTGCAAACCTCGCACAAAACCAAAGCACCCCCTCCAGTTCAAACAACATCCTCCAGAACAGAAATGTATTCAATGAACCATCTTGACCCTCACAACGGCCCAGCCATGTCGGACTCGTATGGAAACGGGCATATCCACCACAGTCCGAGTACTATGCAGAGAACCTCAAGTCAGGGAAATTTCCATCCTCCGATAACCCCACCTTCGGCGTATATATCGACCCCAGTGCGCGTACGTTCAGCAAGTCCTCGCACCAGCGTGAGAAGAGAAGACATCGAAGAAGGGGGAAGCACCATCTCCGCCACAACAGCTCGGTCTATGGCTTCTGGCCCCCGATACGGTAATCGTTATAGCAACGCTGGATCCGTCATGAGTCGAGACGACAAGAGCTTGGCAAGCTCTCCCTCGGTTCCGAATTACATGCAAGCTACGCAATCTGCCAAAGCTAAGGTGCGCTCTCACAGCACTCCCAAGCAGCGACCCAGAACGCCGGAGAAGGACAATGCGTGGGCAACGAAGAAACGCCTTTCATTGCCAATTTCAGAGAACATGGTCCCTACCTCGGGACCCATAATCCTGCGGCCGTTCCGTCCCACCCCATATGCGCAACGCAGCCCCAGTCTTCGCAACGACCAGCGATCTGTGTCGTCGCTCGGCAACAGCAGTCACCAAGGTGATGCTACCCCAGCCTCCTCCGAAACATCAGGTTTGAGGCCACTGTACCGATAGATCTTCAAAGAGTAGTTAGTGTAAATAAGGCATTGGGTCTGCAATCCTGTAGAATTGAGTGAACAAGCTTCAAGATGGAGGGACACGGTGTTCATAACGTACGGCAAGCCGCTGTACAATCCTTTTCTTAGAAGATGATTGCTCCCTACACTGAAATTTGTCGATGTGTAGCCTGAGTTTCATCGTCAATTGAAGGATCTGAACAGGTGTCAGAGCACTTAGAAGAGCCCCAACGGTATAACGGTATGAGATCTGACATTTTTTTAGTGTGTGGTTCCTCCGAAATTGAACACATGAATAAAACGAAAACCGTACGCGATCAGTCTTCGGCCTTTACTGTGTGCTATAGCAACCTTAAGACTTTCTGTTTGAAAGTGTACTACATGCCCACACCGACAAACACATGCAGATAGCTGCTGCCACAGCTAATTGATGCATCTTCACCGCTCTCAAAAGCTGCTCCCAGTATGCAACCCATTGGGTATACGGAATATCCTGAGTAAACAAAAAAGACCGGATGCCCTAACGGATTACCAACATGATCAGCCAAGACTTGTAATCGATGCCAAATGCATCTCTACATGCACAATTACAATCCAGTTGCAAAAAAAAATCTCCAGATTGCACTATCAGACTGTTAATCGTCATTTTGTCATCCAAGTGAAAAAGAAAGGTCCATGCTTCTTACTGTTTAAAGAATGAGTGTTCATGTACTATTCGTCATTCATCAGTGAATTCTACAGTGGATGTGCTAGGACATAGCTCATTTTGTTTCTTTCTCCTGAAGAAGCTATATTCCTACAAATCTCAACTACGGTCCGAAGGGGGTAAGTTCTAATCCGTTTTCTTGGACGTTTCATCAAGAGCTTGCAATCGCTCAACAAGCGGGGGGTGTGAATGATGATACGCTGAATACCACGGATCCGTGTTCATGGCAGACAGATTCTCCTCCTGCAGCTTGATCAGGCCAGCTCTCAATGGCTCTCTGTACCCTAATGAGCGGGCGAACGCATCCGCCTGAAATTCGAAGGCTCGGCTCAACAGGTTGAGAGCAAAGCTTACAAGATGATGGAAGGGCATAATAGTGTGCTGGAATAGGATCAGCCCGATAAGCACTGGCTGTGTGGAGAAACCGAAGCTCAAAAACAGGCCACTAGAGTTCCGAACAAGCGTATAGCCTCCGAATTGCAACAGTGTAAGCACCTGCATGGCCAGGAACGAGTACATAGTGTGGCTCAGCTTCCAATGGCCAAGCTCATGAGCTATAACTGCCACTACTTCTTCCTCATTCTTACATTGCGATATTAGAGTGTCGTACAGAACGATGCGCTTGCTGTTGTAAAATCCATACATGTAGGCGTTGCTATGGCTTGACCGAGTAGAACCGTCAATTACAAACAATTTCTTCAATGGGAAGTCCAAGGAGGATGCCAGCTTCTCGATCTTGGCACGAAGCTGCCCTTCTGGCAAGGGTGTGAATGTGTTGAAAAGAGGCGCGATGAGAACGGGATATAGGGCCATCAACACGAGGGATAACAGCAACATAAAGGCCCACAGATAGAGGGCAAGATATGGCCCACCGTTCTGCACAATATAGATAATTGCCGACACTATGGGTGGGCCAACCACCATCATGAGAGCCAGCCCCATGATCATATCCCGTAAAAACAACCATATGGTTTGCTTGTTGAAGCCATGGCGGGCCTCGATGACAAACGTGGAGTAGAGCGAGAATGGAAGCTCAAGTATCTGCGACCACAACGTGGTCACCGCAAGAAAAGAAAGCGTCTGCAAAATTTCGCTCTTCTCATCAAACCCTAGCTTCCCTACTAACGATCCACTCTTATCCCACGCCCACGGCAACAACCCCAGCAGAAGAATTGCCGATTCCTCCACGATATTCACAGCCGCGTGCACAAAATGGAATCGGCTCTTGTCTAAGCTGTACGCCTGCGCTTTCTCAAATTTCTCTTGACTAACTATTCCCTTGAGAGGCGCTGGCAGATTGGACAGCTTGAGCGCCCCATGTTGCCGAATGTCCAAATACGTCTCCAACATGTACATAAACAGCATAAACCCTACCACAGCTTCCAGGTAAGGGAACGGCGCCGAAGCCTCCATTTTTGCAAATGTAAATGCGATGCTCACAGAAGAGGCAGTTACATACTCCACACCCGAACGACAACAGAAAAAATAAAAATAAAAAATAGAAAATAAAAAACAAACAAACAAAGAACGATCAAACTAACAAACAAACAAACAGACAGACAGACACAAGATCCACACTCCACAAGCAGCAGCCACACCACCAACAGCACAAAAACTGCGATGGTGATGGCTATGGCGATGCATATCAAGCCCTGACCAAACCCCGACTAACTCCACAACTCGCTTACCAATCAAGCAAGTTCTCTCGAACCCCTAAAAACCTCGCAAAACTAGTAAAATAGGGAGCCATAGATCTCTCTCTCCACATAACACGCTCCACAGTAAACTCCTGCTCCCCCAGAGCCCCACCCACGTGCCTGAGCCTCATTGTCTGTCTCACGCTCATAACATCCTTTCGCAAAACTGAGTCCCCTTTTCTGAAGACCCCACTAAAACACCACCAGCCCACCTGCACGCTCTCCGAGACTTTCTATTTCTTACCGGAAAATATAAAAATAATAAAAATCAACACAAAACAGAACAGAACAGAACAGAACAATTTCTTTTGACTTTATTTTTGACGCTTGTTGAACCGAAATTATAGGGTTTAGAAGGGCTGTTGTTGTGGGTTTTCTCACATTTTCTATGCTTCCATTTTGTTTTGTTTATTGTTTTGTTTTTGTCGAAATATGCTTTTCAGTAAAAGCAGGCTTGGTCATGAATGAGGTCTAACTAAGCCTTTGAAGGCCGCTGCCTCCACCTCATTTAGAATCCTGAGCGCGGATGAGTCCTCTGAGATCCTCGCGCTTTCACCCTCCATTGTCACAATCCAAAAGACGCGGTTCTGTCACGAACAATCCCATTCCAGCAAAAACACCACCTCAGAAACCCACAACTCAGAATCTCATCTTCTGGGTAACTCTTACCAGCAGCATTGATTGGATCGATGGTTTGACGAAGTCGAGGGAATTGATTCAGGTTCGATGAATCTATGATTCAACACTCAACGCCCGACTCATAGATGTTAGCATCCCAGAGAAGACGAGGTTTCAACAACCGGCTTCTGCGTCACAAAGCAAGATATCGTTCTGCCGATCCATCACCAACACCTGGAAATGGACCACGTCCTCTACGTAGCATTGCGAGTAGACGATGCGCAAGAATGTTTGTTGCCATGGCTTTCCCCGAATTGTTTTACTGCGAGACCCAGAGATGTGTGAGCTCGTGAATCAGAGAACTCGCTGCTTTCGTCAAAACTCTACCGATAATGCGATCCACCCAATCAATCCTTGCTACCACGGATCATGAATCATGGAAAGCCAGCAGTTTTAGTTTTGGATTTGGATTCTGTTTATGTCTTATGTTTTTTGTTTTTTTTACCAGAGTGTGCGAAATTCCAGTGTGTGTGGTGTGTGTGTGTGTGTGTGTGTGTTGGCATGGGATGCTCTGCAAGCAGCAGCACCCACAAGATTGAACTGGTTTTTTTTACAAAGCTTTTGTGCCAAGTCCGCGGTCCCTGTTTTTTTATTTGCTTCGTCTCTTCAGGGATGGGAATACAAATGTGGTTGGAATTGCTTCTGTTATTATGAAATTAATTGGTAAAGGAATTAATTGAAATGCTGGAGGACTGGAGATTGACTTGCATGATACACGTGAGTGTTGTGATCAACTCATTGTATGTATATTATTTTTAATATTTTTAATACAACACAATAAAATTTACTTTCGAAGTCTTCTTTTGTAAAAATATCTAGGTCCAACAACAAAATGATTAGATTGCTCTTATTTATTGGTTTTTCCATAATTGTTTTCTATTGTGATTCTACTTTTTGCATACAGATAATTACTTGGTTTCATTGACATAGAAATACCTTGTCATTAAGATGTGTTATGTGAAGATAATAGTAATTATATCAATTGTGAATTTAATTGCATGAATTGTTGTTGGACACATTTGTGAATAATTTTAAGTATACAGAATTACAAATCAACTGACAGCTACATTTGATACAAAACTTTAAAAAGGTATAAAAAAGTATTTAAAAAAAACAATATTTTTTGTTGTGCTTAAAACATGCTATTTTGCATTTTATGTTCAATATTGAAATCTATGTGCATTATTCTTAAGATTTAATTGCATGACTTGCATTAAAAACCTACTTGAATTACATATTATTGACTTGTTACACACTCAAAAATCTAAAGAAGCCCTTCTTACTAAAAGATATAATTAATGTATTTATTTTTTGTACAAATGTGTTTCTGTTAAAAGCATTTATGCATGTATCATACATGGTTTTAGTTTTTGTGTCTACCAAAACTAAAACTTGCTTTCATCTAATATATAAAATATTAAAAATTCAAACAAAGAACATAACATTAATAAACATCTTTTTTAAAACTACAAATAATTGATTCAATTCTTAATAATGATTTTAGAAAGATGGTTCAGAGAAAATTTTAAAATAATGCATTTAAACTACTTGATCTTGTTTATAGATAAGAGGTGTAGAATACTCTTAATTATTTAAGTTTTTTAATATCTATTTTTATGAAATAGATATCATTTTAGTTAAATTTATGTTCTCATTGATAATATTCTCTTATCAAAAAGAAAATCATTCCTTTTTGTATTTACAAGCTTATAGTTACCACTGGAATAGAACGTTAGCTCTGAAATTATTCTATTATATCAAGTCTTCATAATACATATATATATATATATAAAGATTGAAAATAAAATTATATAAAGATGTTAAGTAAATTATAAACATCACAACTAGAAATAAAAGAAGTGTGCATCTATAATCAATAAAAATTATGATAAACATCTTTTCAAAAATTTCACTTTGTCTTGGTTTGCAAATAATTTAAATCCTTAGGCTATTTTTTGAAATGCATTTTTATCAATATTCATATCAACATTGATAATTTTTTCTTGTATTAACTTTCAATTTAAATAATTCTTTTTTTATCTGTTTAGTATTTATTTATTTATTATTAAGAAAAAAAATTAATATTAATTTTTTAAAAAGATAATATATTAATGGATAATCAAAGAATAAAAAGTATCAAATTATATATATATATATATATATATATTAAAAATAATCAAATTTTAGAATAGATATTGCTAAATACAAAGAAATTAGAGAGTTTTCAATAACAACAATAATACAAGAAATGTATTTACTAAACCAAGAATAGCTTTGATCTTACCTTCATATAATCCAACTTCTAGAGAGGTTATGAGAAAACTTCAAAAAACCATTAGTTTTGCAAAACAAGTATCCAAGTTGTAGAACACTTTTGTATTAGCTTTTAGACCTAAAGAACTATTATAAGATTTTTTAATGACTACTTGGTGCATCTAAAGGCATTTATAAATCCAATCACTACATAGAAAGCTTTAATGATGTTTCTTGAATTGTAGATATTTTAAACTTTATTTTTGATTTTAATTTTTTTATTTTGTTTAATCATGTTTTATTTAAACTATGTATTTTAAAAATCTTGTAATTCAAAAAAAATCAAAATCTTTAAAAACCATACATAATTATTTGTTTGTGTTTCTTTTAGATTCATTGCTAAAATTTATATTTCTTAAAAAAAGAACCATAAGATTATTTAATTATCAATTAGATTTTGTTTTTTGAATATATCTATAGAATGAATTTTTAGATGTTTATTATGTATGTTAAATTTTAATAAAAGAAATGAGTCTTTATTTATCAAGAATAAAAAAATTAGCAAGGAATAATTAAAATAGATTATTATATATTTCCTTAAAGTATTTTTGATTAAGATTATTTAAAAATCTTGTATGAAGTATGCACATTTTGAATGTAATATTAAACCTTTTATAGTTGTAAACATACTCACAATCTTTTAACAAATATATATATATATATATTGAGAATATTTAGAAAATCTTGAAAAAAATGATTTAAATAATAAATTGATAAATTTGAAAAATAAGTTAAATCATAAATGTTATGAGTATCTATTGTTGAAAATAAAATTAAGATCAAAGATTGTACATATTTCAATGTGAAGGATTTTCTATGAATTTCCATGAATTTCTATCATCTATAAGAACCAATTATATAGATATTAATAAAGAGTCTTAAAAAAATGACGCATGTATGCAAATGACTTGATAATTGTTGAGAGCATTAAATGTAGCTAGTGTTCTTCATAATATTTAGTGTAGTCTACAGTAAATATTATAGCTACAGTACTTGGAATATAGTAGAGAGGAATTGTTTATCCTCTCTCCTTTTCTTTTTGTATATGAAATACAATCAGATCAATTGACTTTTGTAGGATGCTGTCTCTCTCCTTAGGAACTCTCTTATATGTGTCTGTATTACTTACTATTACTCTTGTGTCTTTCTAAACATTCTCAACATGTTATCAATATGATTTGCTCCTATACACTATTGCAATTTTTTGCTCTAATCTTGACTCTTCAAACTTGTTGCTACTCTTACTCCATGTATGATTTTTACTACTTTGGTGTATAATTCATGATCTTGCTACACTTTTTGTTGGTCCTTCACACCTTAGCTACTTGCTTAGAGCACTTGCTCCACTCTGTGCCTTACTTACTTAGAGTACTTGCTCTAGCCATGCCTCCCTCTACATCCTACACCTATCGCCAAATAGTCGCCAAAATAGCTACCAATTGCCACTAAACAACTATCAACCCTGCCGTTGACTGTCGTTGCCGCCTTGCCGCCTCTATTGACTACCATTGCCGCATCACTGCCACCCCTTTGTTGCTGCCACTATTGACTACCATTATTGCCTCGCCGCCGCCATTGACTGCTGTTGCCACCTTGCTGCTGCTACTTCGTTGCTATAATCTACAAGCTTATTCAAAATAGTAATAATATTATTAATTAATTAATTAATATTTTTTATTTTAATTTCAATTTTATCATTTTATTTGATTTTATATTTTAAGGTACATTTTATTCAACTTTTCTAACTTGAGCTTGTATTATTTTTACAGATTTATTTATAATGAGTGCTTCAACATCTTCAACTGCTTCGACTATGGTTCCAACTATCATCAGTGCATTTCAACATTTTCAAGCTCTTTTATTTCCACCATTGATTATGAATGGAAATAATTATCTATTATGGGCAAAAATAACAAAAGTAAATTTATTTATAAAATAACTCTCAAATGCTATTATGTTCGAAGAATCTCCTATAATAAGTATTTCTATTCTTCTTGCTATCCATTGAAAAGCACTTCTTCTCCTTTGTCATCATCTTGTACCTATATTACAACATCAATATTTAAAAATAGAAGATCTTATAGAACTTTGGAAGAATCTTAAATCTAGGTTTGATTATCAAAAGACCATTTTCTTTTTGCATGCATGTCATAATTGGACACATTTACATGTATTGGATTTTCTAAATTTAAATGCTTTCAATAGTAAAATGTATAGTATTGTCTCACAATTACGATTATGTAGACAAAGCATCTCTAAAGAAG